CGCAACGCCTGAATGAGAAGAGAAATTTTCACACAATGGGTGCGCGATGAGTGGCTGGGCAAGCACAACCTCAAGGTATGCCTAGTCCTGGTTAACTGCACGACGGCCCACCACACTACCATTGTGCTTGAAAACATGGAGCTGCACTTTTTGCCGCCTAACTCTACTGCTATTGAGCAACCCCTCAATCTAGGTGTGATCATGAACTTCAAGCCGGCCTACAGCAAGCGTGTCATCGATTGAATTTCGCTCAATATGAGCATGAAGGGCAAAACGGCAATCGACCTGTGCATGGCGATAGAGATGTCCCAAGCTGCCTGGATGGCCCTAACGGCAAGTACGATCGCGAACTCCTTCCGGCATGCCTCATTTGGCGTCAGCAGTGGAAAGCCCAGCGAAGATTTCAGCGATGATGCCAGTGATGGTGCCGCAAGCGACAAGGCCCAGACGTCTTGGGACGCTCTCCTTGACGCCGGCGCTGTGCTTAACTATGACACTTTCTGCCTGTACGTCGGTGCTGATGCTGCCACGGTGACAATGGAAGAGTTGTCAGATGCGGAAATTGTGCGTGCAGTGACAGGGGTGCATGACGACAGTGACGAATATGTAGACATTCCAGAGCCTAATGTTGCCGAACTCGACATACGGACGCCAGCACAAGCGCTGGATGCGACAGATCTGCTGCGTTGCTTCTTTGGTGCTTACGATGACGGCTAGGACGGACTCGAAATGGCTGCTGCAGCTGAAAAAGCAGTCATCTGTGCGAGGAAGAGTCGGCAAAAGTCTATTAAGGACTATTTTTATTCGAAGTGATCTACCAGCTCCATTGTCAGAAATGATCTCTAACAGCACATCATCCTCAGTGCCATCAAGTGTGTTCGAGATGGAGCACTTTTTGAACACGAGGTAAACGAGCGCATCAGGAATGCAGGCCCAAGCCTCGACTATGCACGAGCACAGCATCGCTGGTGAGGCCCGTTTCAGCCGTACAGCAGGGGTCACTTCTGGTTCTCCGGACCTCCCCCACTTCGTGTACAGGCGCTTGACATGGTCCTTAAATGGCTTATTAAGGCCCACATTAAGCGACTGGAGCTGTGATGTGATCCCGGGAGCTCGGTGCGGGAGTCGTGCAGCAGTTGCTTCATGGAGTCGGTCAGGTGACACAGAAACCCGTCGAGCACAAGCATCGATGGGAGCCCCAGCAGTGCTCCGGGCCGTCGATACCCCACGAACTTTATCCAGTCAAGCACTAGTGATTCATCTATCCAACCCTTGTCCTGGCAGCAAACAACTTTTTAAGGACTTCTCCCAGTTCAGCACAGTCTTTTGTTTGAACAACCAGTAAGGTGGTAACGTGCGACCGCCTGAAGTGCAGGACAACATTACAAACACCAGTGTTCTTTCGTTTCCAGTCAATCGCACGATAACTTGCCTACCGTATTTACTCGATTCTATCGCCCTATTGATTGTAACACGCACCCAGTTTCCACGACGGGAAAAAAGTACATCTATTGTAACGTGCACCTATTTTTCTCGTTGGCCTGCCTGATCACACCACTCGGGAAAACGACTCTTTTCGGGAGCGCCTTCCATTTAAATATCAGGTACGGGGGAAGCTTGTGCCCATCTGTTGTGCAGCAGGGCATTGCCGCCACTCTAGTTTTTTCGTGGCCCGATGTCAGCACGCGAGCTTGCTTCCCCCCCTTCTCCTCGACGGTTGTGGTGCCAGGTATGTTGAAGCAAAGAGGCGTCTGATCGGCATTCCCGATTTGCTCAAGCAGGTAGCCATTGTTGTGCCGCAAGTTTAAGACGAACCTCTGAAAACCGAGAAGCTTTTCTTCGTACTCCTTCGGCAACTTTTCGCACATGCTCTTTTGCCTTCAGAGGGAAAAGCCTTTCCTTTTCATAAAGTTAGTTAGCCAGCACCTGCTCGTTTTGAACTGGCTCCACGTTAGCCCCTTTTCTAAGGTTAACTGCATAGCCCGCACTTGGAGCAGTTCTGTCGTGCCGCTCGCTGCTCAAGCACATACTCGGCAAGCAGCTCTTCGATTTGCAGAAACCGACCCTGCTGTGGCCCCATGAAGCCTTTACGTGAAGCTTTGCTGTCGACAATCTTCTGCTTTTGTTTCCGCCAGTCCCGCACGGACGTTTTGGGAACTCTAGACGACCACGATGCGACCCAATTTCCGTTCGTTTCTGCATACGCGATGACTTTTCTTTTAAAGCGGCATCGTGGTGCACTCGTCGAGTTTTTGGAGTCGGCCCTTCCATGCCGTCGATGTTAATGCACTACAAGATGACGAACCCCTCAGCACACAAACGACGTGCTGCACATGGAAAACACATTGGCAGAAATGGCCGACGCGCCATGCCGACGCACGTAGGGGGCAGCCATTTTAGAAATGCCAATGGCAACAGAATGACCGTATTAATTTTTTTTTTCGTACTTGATTCTAATGTGCATGCGATTTATGAACTCCCTTACCCGAAAAAAAGGTGCGCGTTAGAGTAATTACAGTAGAGCTTTTCTATGCACCGTCAGCGCCGAGGGCATATCCAGGCAGATCAACCTTTGATCCCCGTTGCCGATCTGACCGAGCTGAAATGGGACAGCCTTTCGCAACTCAATCACATACTGTATTTACTCGTGTAATCCTCGCACTTGTATAGTTCTCACACCCTCCCCCATATTTTTTTTTTCCGGGCATTTATTGCATCCCGAAAATTGCAGCCGAAATGTCGTATGCACCTTCAAACCACTGATGATGATGATAGCACACAAAAGCCTGGCATTATCTCTTAAGCACTATGCGAGCTATCAACGCACAGAGCTCAAAGGCAAGCCAAGCCAAAGTGGCTAGTGTGCGTTGTGGAGTACTCGTGTATGCTGTGTCCATTCGGTGGTTACGTTATGGGGTGATACGGAAGCTTCACGGCTGCTTTCAAGTTGGAAGTGATTGATCATGCACTAAACAGCCGCAACAGAGCCACCGGTGGGCACTTTAGAGGCAACGAGTTTTGTGTTCGCTATTGGTGATGACAGCACGGGCAGCTGAAAGCCACCAAGGCGCCCTGGGCATTCAGTGAGCCTAACACTGGATAGTAAAATGGATAGTAAAACTTTATTTATTCGGAAAATAACTGCAGACAATTGGATATTAGTATGGCCATGAGCCCAAGGTTGATGTCGTATGCCACTCTCGTGACGAACGCTAATGCTACAGTCGCATGCTTTGCATAAGGTATTCCAAAACTTTACTAAATGCTTGCAGCTTTTGTGCCTCAAATAAATCTAGTCGTGTATTGAACCTGTGGTTTCATAGTTGAAATAAGTCTTTATGAATAATTCTCAAAGCTTGTAGTTAGTTATAGAATACAGATTTGCAATCACTTCGTTTCACCCCAAATCTTGATTTGGGGGGAACCACCATATATGATTATGAGAGACGCCGTAGTGGAGGGCTCAGGAAATTTCGACCACCTGGGGTTCTTTAACGGGCACCCAAACCCGAGCATGCGGGCCTACAACATTTCCGCCTCCATCGGAAATGCAGCCGCCGCAGCCGGGATCCCCCCAAATCTTCCTCGCGTAATTCTCGCATCCCCCAACTTTTCATCGATCTATCTGAGAAAAAGGTGCAAGGATTATGTGAGTAAATACAGTCAAACCTCGTTATAACGTATAGGATATAATGAAATAATGTATACAACAAAGTAAATGAAATTCCCTTTGAAAACTCCACTGAGAACCATGCATTTTAAACCTTTTTGTAACGAACTGAAATTGGCCGGTAAATGGATATAACGAACTAAATTAGCCTATCAAAAAAATGACCGACGTGTGTTTAAGTAATGCGTGTTCTGCGAAGTTTGACGCTCGTTCTCGTTAACAGGATATTAACAGTGAGATGTGCAGTTCGCTGCTACCGCACAAAGTCTGCGAGTTGTCGTTCTACATAAGGAAATGCTCCGTTTTTTGGTCCGCAAAAACTTTTTTTCTGGCTCCTGTAAGCAAGAAGGGTTTGATTGGTTTGTGGGGTTTAACGTCCCAAAACCACCATATGATTATGAGAGACGCCGTAGTGGAGGGCTCCGGAAATTTCGACCACCTGGGGTTCTTTAACGTGCACCCAAATCTGGGTACACGGGCCTCCATCGGAAATGCAGCCGCCGCAGCCGGGATTTGAACCCGCGACCTGTGGGTCAGAAGCCGAGTACCTTAGCCACTAGACCACCGCGGCGGGGCCAGCAAAAAGGGTGTCCTTCTGCTTCCACCAATCGCGAATGCTCTGCTCGATAACTCCCAGCTGCCGCTCTGTGGCACAGTTGCTAATGGTTTCAGCAGCAGCAACAACTTTCCTTTTAAAACAGCCGAGTACTGCCTGCACAGTGCTCATGTGACGTAAAATTACAGGAGCAAAGTCGTGGACGTCGTATGGGCATAAAGTTGAAACAAAGGCCACTGACCACTGTTGCACACGTGGGTCTGTAAGACCAATGCTTGCTACCGCTGCGAACACTACACTTAGCGCAGAACCACGTAAACACCCGATGATGATGCCAAAATCCTTAGGATGCACATATAGTATGAGGTCAAAATTTCGTACCCTAAAATCTAGAAAAAGAAAAAAAGAACCAGGCTATATGGGGGCTTTTTTTGCCAATTTTGCTTGCCTTTTTTTTTGCCATCTTTGCCATTTTGCCAGTTTTTTGCCTTCGGACAGCCATTTTTCTCTGTGCGGCAGGCTGCTTTGATATCGGTGGTGAGTACATTCTTTCTGGCTGGCTAACTGTCGGTAGAAATGAATATAGGCTATAACCAACTAATGGTTATAATGAAGTGACACTTCAACTTCATTATAACGAAGTTTGACTGAATTGTCCAAGCCAGCCAGCTGAGAGAACTGAGAGTAAGTGACAAAAATACTTAAGGAAGACTCACTTCCCAGCCAGCTGAGAGAACTGAGAGTAAGTGACAAAAATACTTGTGGAAGACTCACTTCCAAGCCTGACGTCAACAGACTCTGGTACAGATGACCCGCATGGTCGCACTTCATCCTCACAGTTACTGCCAAAGGGCACAAGTGGCAGCAGCTTGCTTGCTCCTTCCACTTCACCCGAGCCTTTCTTGAATAGGTCAGCCCAGCAGCGCCTGGCTGATCCAGACCCATTCACTACAGGAGGTTCAGCACACGACTCTTCAACTGTGGTCACAGCTCGAGCTTGCTCAACAGGCACAGGAGGTTGCTCAACAACAGGCACAGCTACTTCAGGCACATCAGTGGGAAAAGAGGTTGCCAAAGGAGACGCAGGTTTGGCAATCTCATGCATTGCTTCATCTGCCTCACTGGGAACACTACTGGCCAAAAGCTCTGCTGGTTCCACATCACCCACAGCTGGTTCCACATCGCCCACAACTGGTTCCACATCGCCCACAACTGGTTCCACATCACCCACAACTGGTTCCACATTATCCACAACTGCTGGAAGCGTTTCACTGGTGCTGGTGGTCGCTGGGCTTGCCACTTCTTCTTTGGACTGATATAAAAAACAAAATAGAATGCAAAGTAAAAAAATCAGCTTAAAATGGGCATATTAAAAATAGTTGCTATAACTCCCCTTCCCCTCAAGTTATTCCAATGTAGTAATTAGGCACAAAAACGTCACTTCATAGTAAAGCTTTCTGAGCAATCAATAAAGACTGCACTACATGACGAATATTTTAAAACTAGCACAATGAAAGCAACAGAAGTTTTCTATAGACCAAGAGCCACTACAGGGGTGCAACAGCTGATATACAATTTGGAGAAATTTTCGAAGTAGCAAAATATTACTTTTGGAGCACTAAAATCCAAATTTACAGCAGGTTATGGGAACCCCCCCCACCACAGATTTTTAATCCATGAAATACCAAATTTAAAGCAGTATAAAAAGGCGGCTTACATTTAGAAAAAAAATATATATGAAATATATATGAAATGTATGAAATATGTATGTATGTATGAAATACGTATGAAAAAAATATGTATGAAAAAGTATGTATGGTAATGGAGCCACGGGAGCGGCCGCGTCAGCAGCACGTGTAGGTGAGCTCTGCACATATCTGCCTATAACTTAAGCAATTTTGGTTCTAGGAGGGTCAGAGTGGTGTCTATTTGTTCGTGAAGATACAAGGGGTTCAACCGCTACAAATACTATTATTACAAACGAAAATTTTAAATTTTAGGAGCGGAAAACAGTGTGAATCTGTGAAAACAACAACAGTCAGACCACATGTTTTTTACGATCGCTTGTAGCTTCGTTAATATTCTACCGGGAAACTTCTTACTTATAAAGTTGAAAGTCCTTAGGGTAGACCTGACGCTACTGAAGTTTGATCAGGCTAGGTTTAATAGTTCCAGAGTTATTCTGCAATAAAAATGAAGCCTAATCACTAAAAAGATTAAATTGGTAATATCACCTCGCAAACGCATTTAAATTTTGTCCGCTTAATATAATAATAAACCACACCCCATAGGCTACCAAGAGGCACAATTCCGTACACACTAAACCCTTAATTGAGGTGGTAATCAGCAAAAAGCTCATTTCATTAAAACAAATTTTCAAAAGGAGCTACAAACGCCACTGAAAAATAGCTAATATCTTCTTTTAGAACACAACAGTCCGGTTTTTTTCGTGTAAAAATAATTTTGATAGCTTAAGGTAACCGGAAGATACAGAGTTAGAAAGAATATAACGAAAACCGCTAATAAACGTGTGGCGCCCGCGTCTTCCCTCGCTCAGAGGAGGAGGGTGGCTCACTGCTCGGGAGAAAGGTACGCCCGTCAGATCAAAGTCTTGAACCATGTGTTTTTTTTTTTTTTTTCCCCTTACGATCGCTTTTAACTTTGCTAATAAACTACCAGGAAACTTCTCACTCATACAGTGCAAAGCCCTAATTGTAGACCTGTCGCCGCTCAGGTTTCATCAGGACAGGAGTAATAGTACCGGAACTATTTCGTGACCAAAATTAATCCTAATCACTAAAAAGATTAATTTGGTAACATCACCTCACAAACGAATTTAAACTTTGTCCGCTTAATATATCAATAAACAGCACCCCATAGGCTAATCGAAGGCCGAACTCCGTACTCTCTATCTCTAGACCCTTAATTAAGGGGGTAATCAGCAGAAATCTCATTTCATTAAAACATTTTTATAAAAATAACCACAAACTTGACTGATACACCGCTGAAACCTACATTTAGAACATAACAATCCGGGTGCGGCGATGGCGTAGTGGTTAGAGCATCCGCCTCGCATGCAAGAGGCCCGTGGTTCAAATACCGGTGCCGCGCAGTTCCCAACCGGAAAAAAAAAAATCCGCGTGTTGATGGAACTGCATTAAGAGGCCTGAGGTGTGGCCTCACCGGTAACCACCACCGGGAATGCACTCCCTCACCATAGAAGGATTGGCCACCCTGGTGCAGTATCTGGCCACTACCTCCCACATGCATACGTCAAATAACTCACGGCCCTCAGTTCCCAGCAGCTGCGAAGCAACTGACCATGGCGGCGGTCAGATCTGCAACGCAGCAGAGGGTGCTAAGAATCTCTGGACTACAGGCCGCCTTTGGAACCTGAACTTGGCAACGTTTAACGCTAGAACCTTATCTAGTGAGGTAAGTCTAGTTGTACTATTCGAGGAGCTAGAGGGTGTCAAATGGGATATAATAGGGCTCAGTGAGGTTAGGAAGACAGATAAGGCCTATACGGTGCTACAAATAGGCACGTCCTTTGCTATCGGGGCTTGGCAGACAGAAGAGAACTGGGAGTGGGGCTCCTAATTCACAGAAACATAGCTGGCAGCATAGAGGAACACTATAGCATTAATGAAAGGGTGGTAGGTATCGTAATTAAACTGAATAAAAAATACAAGATGAAGGTATACAGGCTTACGCGCCTACATCAGTTGAAAGCTTCTATGAAGACGTGGAATCGGCAATGAGTAAGGTAAGAACACAGTATACTATAGTGATGGGCGACTTTAATGCAAAGGTAGGGAAGAAGCAGGCTGGAGACCAGGCAGTAGGAGATTATGGCATCGGCCCTAGAAACGCCAGAGGAGAGCTACTAGTAGAATTCGCAGAACGTAATAATTTGCGAATTTCGAATACCTTCTACCGAAAACGACAAAATCGCAAGTGGACAAGGAGGAGCCCTAATGACGAAAATAAGAACGAAATAGACTTTATAATGACTGCACACCCAGGAATCGTACAGGATGTGGAAGTGGTTGGCAAGGTACGATGCAGTGACCATGGAATGGTACGGTCTCGAATTCGCCTAGACTTGAAGAAGGAACGACAGAAACTGATACCCAAGAAGCCAATCAATGAGCTATCACTGAGAAGGAAAGTACAGGAATTCAGAGTGTCGCTGCAGAACAGGTACTCTGCTCTTAGTGAGGAAACCAACCTTAGTGTAGATACATTGAATGATAATCTAACGAGTATCATTACGGAGTGTGCAGTGGAAGTTGGAGGCAGGGTAGTTAGACAGGACACTGGCAAGCTTTCCCAGGAAACGAAGAACCTAATTAAGAAGCGTCAAAGCATGAAAGTGTCAAGTACAACAGACAAAATAGAACTGGCAGAGCTTTCAAAGTTGATTAATAGGCGTAAAGTATGCGATGTAAGAAGGTATAACATGGAGAGAATTGAACACGCTCTGAAAAACGGAGGAAGCGTCAAAGCAGTAAAGAGGAAACTTGGGATAGGCAAAAGTCGGATGTTTGCACTAAGGGACAAAGAAGGCAAAATAACTACCAATATGGATAGGATAGTTAAAATAGCGGAGTAGTTTTACAGAGATCTGTACAGTAGCCGAGACAATCACGACCTTAATACTATAAAAACTAGCAGTAACCCAGATGACACCCCACCAGTAATGATAGAAGTAAGAAAAGCTTTGGAGAGCATGCAAAGAGGCAAAGCTGCTGGTGAGGATCAGGTAACATCAGATCTGCTGAAAGATGGAGGACAGATTGTGTTGGAAAAACTAGCCACCCTGTTTACGAGGTATCTCCTAACGGGAAGGGTACCAGAGTCTTGGAAGAACGCTAACATCATCTTAATACATAAGAAAGGAGATGACAAGGACTTGAAGAATTACAGGCCGATCAGCTTGCTCTCTGTAGTATACAAGCTATTTATAAAGGTAATTGCTAACAGAGTAAAGAAAACATTAGAATTCAATCAACCAAAGGAACAAGCAGGATTTTGAACAGGCTACTCAACAATTGACCACAATCATACTATCAATCAGGTAATAGAGAAATGCTCAGAGTATAACCAACCACTATACATAGCCTTAATAGATTACGAGAAGGCGTTTGATTCAGTAGAAATATCAGCCGTCATGCAGACACTGTGGAATCAGGGCGTAGATGAAGTATATATAAACATTCTGGAAGAAATCTACACGGGATCAACTGCCACCATAGTGCTTCATAAAGAAAGCAACAGAATACCAATCAAGAAGGGTAAAAGGCAGCGGGACACAATCTCCCAAATGCTATTTACCGCGTGCTTACAGGAGGTTTTCAGAAACCTAGAATGGGAACAGTTCGGGATAAGAGTTAATGGAGAATACCTTAGTAACCTGCGCTTCGCCGATGACATTGCATTGCAAAGTAACTCAGGGGACGAATTGCAACTCATGATTACGGAGTTAAGACAAGGAGAGCAGAAAGGTGGGTCTTAAAATTAATCTGCAGAAAACGAAAGTAATGTACAACAACCTCGGGAAAAGAGCAGCGCTTCGAGATAGGTAATAGTGCACTTCAAGTTGTAAAAGACTATGTCTACTTAGGGCCGGTAATAACCGCAGAGCCTAACCACGAGATTGAAGTAACTAGAAGAATAAGAATGGGGTGGAGTACATTTGGCAAGCACTCTCAAATTATGACAGGTAGATTGCCACTATCCCTCAAGAGGAAGGTATATAACAGCTGTATCTTGCCGGTACTTAGCTACGGAGCAGAAACCTGGAGACTTACAAAAAGGGTTCAGCTTAAATTGAGGACGACGCAGCGAGCAATGGAAAGAAAAATGGTAGGTGTAACCTTAAGAGACAAGAAGAGAGCAGAGTGAATTAGGGGACAAACGGGGGTTAAGGATATCATAGTTCAAATAAAGAAGAGGAAATGGACATGGGCCGGGCATGTAGCGCATAGACAGGATAACCGCTGGCCATTAAGGGTAACTAACTGGATTCCCAGAGAAGGGAAGCGGGTTAGGGGGAGACAGAAGGTTAGGTGGGCAGACGAGATTAAGAAGTTTGCGGGTATAAATTGGCAGCAGCAAGCACAGGACCGGGTTAACTGGCGCAATATAGGAGAGGCCTTTGTCCTGCAGTGGACGTAGTCAGGCTGATGATGATGATGTATGAACCATTCAACAGTACCTTAAATGTACTGCTATTTCAATGAGCACTGCTATTTCAATGAAAATAGTTTTTTGAGCCACCCCACAGAGCAAACAATAATAAAGTCCATA